GTTCTGGCTGATCTAAAATTAGCTTTGACGATTATTTGAGTAGCATGGCATGAATTATTTGCCTACCATGACTTACGCTAACCCAAAGTGAGCAGTGATCTTTTCAAAAAAATTTTGCCTAAACAGCGGACATGTGGTAATTAGACAAAATCACACAACCAGTAAAGCACGACAATATCGATCACAGAATTGGCTTTCTTATTAATGCATGTATATGTTCCAACCGTAAAACGACCTTTAATCAGGGTTTCCATTGTTACGGAAAGAATTAAAAAAAAAAAACAAACAAACAAACAAACAAAATTGCATCGAATGCGAGAAAAAGTGTCAAGCGATGCAATCTTATGAAACAAAACAACAGTCGATTTAGTTGGATTACGCTCGGTTCGATTACGTGCGGTGATTGTTCTCAGTATCATGATCGATTTTCAAACACAAGTAAACCGTGAGCCCTTTGAATGAGCTTTATCGATTTTGTTTTGTTTTGTTTTGGAAATATTAATTGAGTTCCCTGAGATCTTCGAAGAAAACTTTTTAATATCAGCCCCTTCACTTTAGCGAACTAATTTGAATAATCTGCAGACAATTTACAACAGAAAATTCCTGCCGATGGATCATCGACGAGATGCAGATGTCCATCGTGTGCGTAAAGTATGATGTAGGACAGACCCAAGAGAATACAGGACTGAAATGTTGGAAATGTTGTGGAATTAATAGAATTGAAAATTGGCATAATCAAAAACAAACCTAGGAATCCCAGTCGACAATGAAATTACGGTGAGCCCTCCACAAACAGGACGTTGTTCGACGTTTGTAATTATCGCTGATGGAGGTTTCTCTTTTACTGATGATAACAGGATTCAGGAAGGCTAATTCAATCAGTGAGTGACAATTGGTTTTCACTAAAGAGACTGACACTCTTATCCTTTGAATGAATAAGAATCTAAAGATCTTTCCTCACCATTTTCTCCATCATATGTGTGGTCACAATATCAATTTATGTGGTAGTTCAGTGATCGGCCAATGAGTGTTCTCCATGTTATAAGAGTCGCCTTTACTTAGTCACGCAAGCAAATTTGATCGGAGGTATTTACTAAGAAAACAAAGGTATTTTGCATTCAATTTCGGTTAATTTAAAGTTGCTATTGAGTGCCTCGGGCCTGTAATGGAACTCCAGATCGCAATTATCAGTATTACTGGAAGGATCGGCGAAAGCTGGGATAGACATTTTGACATCAAATTTATAGTAGTTTAAGGCCACATTGGAACTTTTGTCAGTTTTCCTAAAATGCGACTAAAAATACAAGATTCAAAATTACAAAAAAATGGGTTTCACCAATTTATGAACTCGATGGTAACGTGAAGTTTTTTAGAATAAACGGGGGAAATGCGCGTTCAATTTTAACCTGTATATTCATGTTTAAGTATTTTACATAAGACCGGAAAATTTTTAGGTCAAAATATATCACGGGTCAAAACAAGTAAAAATGGTATGACGTTATCCGTACTTTCACATCCATATATATCATAGGCAATGACCAATCACAAAGTACTGGAAGAGACCCTTATGTATTACACATTTCAAAGACATTGGTACCTTTTGGGGTTATAAAGTATTCAACATGAACTGATCATACCAAACATTTGCTTTATTTGTAGTGCAGATACGAATTTATCTATCATAATAAATTATAATCCCAGATTATACAAGGGACCGTAGGTCCTGAAGTATAAGATAGATTATACGAGAAACATGAGACGGAATGTAACAATGCAATGCCAACTTTATTTTGCTCCATCAACAGCGATTTACAGAACTCAACCAGAAAAAAACAAGAAAAACGAGTTCAACGGTCTCGTGGTCCCATAAGTCCTTGCAGTCATACACCACAGTGCCTTTTTGTTGAGCAAGTCAACCTGGAAAGAACAGAAAAAAGAGAAAAAATGCAAAAACAAAGAAACGTCAAACATGAGGGTTATGGGTGTGGGTGGGATTGCATTGTTACATTCCGTCTTATGTTTCTCGTATAATCTATCTTATACTTCAGGACCTACGGTCCCTTTGTTTAATCTGGGATTATACGTGAAAACATTCGACTCCATGTAACAATGCATGTTCAAAGACGGCTATCTAACCTGGGAACGGAAAGAACTGACCTACTTGCGTCAGGGTGAAGCACAGGTTTATAGTAGAAACGCTTAAAAGTGGAGTCAGATGACCAGCAGGCCATGGCCAAGATATCTGACAAACCGACCCCACCGCTGGCAGTAGCAGAGGCCGATGCCCCACGCACTGAATGAAGTTTAAATTGAGATGTGTCAATACCTGCTGCTTGTAGCAGACTTGGTACCCACCTAGCAACCGTACTAGCCGAAACGGGTTTATGAGGTTGGACTACTGACAGGAAAAGCCGATTTTCCTGGCTAGCAAGAACAGATCTCATCTCCCGCACGAGATTTATAATCCTTGAGGCAATCGACAACACACAAGTTTTTATCCTCAGGGAAGCTGGCATGAAAGGACTGCTTTTTATACTTTCCAGTTCGAATAGACTTAGTCAGGCAAGGAAGGTTGAAAACTACCCCTTCAGGATAAAAACGTCTACTGTTGCCAGAGATATGCCATCCTCCCAGTTGGAGGTGGTTCAGAGGGTGGGACACTCCCTCCCGGGTTAAAAGATTGGGAGACTGGGGAATAAGGACTGGAAAGTCTACTAAAAGATCCAGCAAGAGGGGATACCAGGGTTGAGATTTCCACACAGGTGCTACCAACACAAGATATGGGGCTTGTTGTCTCATACCTTGACTGAGGCACCTTCCCAGACGACAGAAGGGGGTAAAGGCATAACCCCTGACCATGTTCCACTGAAGGGAGAAGGCATCCACTGCTTCCGCATGGGGGTCTGGTTTCCAGCTCACAAAGCGAGGTAGCTGGTTTGTCAACCGAGAAGCAAACAGGTCGAGTTCCATAGGGCCCCAAAGGTTCTGAAGGGTCTGGAACATTACTGAGCAAAGCTTCCGATCAGAGGAGTCCAGGTGATACCTGGATTCCCTGTCTGCAGTCACATTCAGGATCCCCGGAATGTGAGTAGCAGACACTCTTATCTGCCTCTGAAGACACCACTGCCAGAGGTCGCGAGACAGAGAGGCTAGGGCACGAGATTTGGTTCCCCCCATTTTGTTGATGAATGTAAGTGCAGTCACATTGTCCATCAAGAGCTGAATGTTAATGTTTGTTTTGTCCTTTGCGAAGCATTTGATCGCGAAGGAACCTGCTAAAAGCTCCAGACAGTTTATATGGAGAAACTGTTCGGATTGACACCATAGGCCGCCTGTACTCACTCGTGCATCATACGTATCTACATACGTGCCGTTAAGTTGATTCGTAATAAACCCTGATTTTCGCTATTGCTTAAATAGCGCTCTCTACTGCGAGGATCGTGCATCATACGTATCTACAACCGCAGTTCAAAATATATGAACTTCATATATTCATTTTATCTGATTTATCATCACGGGTTTATTACGAATCAACTTAACGGCCTGCTCCCAGTTGGCTTGTTAGCTCAATTGGTAGAGCGCTGCACTAGTATCGCAGAGGTCAGTGGTTCGAGTCCCGTACAGGCCTGATTTTTTTCAGGTCTGATTTTCGCCATTGCATAAATAGCGCTCTCTACTACGAGGATCGTGCATTTTACGGACATACCTTTGTTCACTGGTTTGGCTTGTGGGTGGGGGAAAGCCCTTCCCCTCGGTTGAGAAGGACGGGATCTGGTTTGCCAACGTCCTTGGCGGGTTCCACGTCGTAGGTTGCTCCATGGTCCTCCACGTGCCAGGTAGGGTTGTCCACGTGGAGGGGCGGGCCGAAAAAGCTGTTGCCCCACTTTCTGAGCTTCAGTAATTGCTTTCGCCGTTTCTGTACGCTCTTTAAGACGTGACTTAAAACCTTTGCCAAATAGATCTTTGCCTGCATCAGGGAAAGCCTCCTTACCAAGGGATGCATAAACCTTGTTTACCTTAGATAGGACTGCTACCCTACGTTTTTGAGAGATTGTGGCTGAAGCGTGTCCGGCCAACTGAATTGACGTTTGGATGATTGCCATGAGGCCAGTCCCTTCCTCTGTTGAGAACTGGATAATAGAAGAAGGAGCATCAAGCTTGTCCAGTAGGTGTTCATGGGCAGTGCTTAGAGGGCCCAGAATGTCGAGCACTTTATCTTGAATGTACCTCAACTCAGCGTCAGGGCCGGTTAGACCGCCCATGAGACTAGGCAGGTAAGAGTCCAAGCGTGGAGTGAACGCTGCATCCACGTTGGGTCTTGGGTAATCTTTAACGATCGGACGCTTGTCAAATTTTGATAATTGCGTCCTTGTTGTACCCAGAAACGTCGAGAGCTCTTCCGAAGCCTGCCATCTGGCTGCACTGGCTTCCACACTGTCAGAATATTCACCCTTAACTGCCGACTCATCGGTAGGGTCGTCAATGTTTACAGCAGGCTCGATTTCCCGGTGAAAGGGAGAATCATGACTAAAATGTTTAGCCAACGGGCTAGCACTGGTGGAGTCAACAGACTTTCCCACCAAATCTCCGGGGCCATCAAGCTCACCGGCGGAACGTTTAGTTCCAGGTAGTTCAGGACGTGTTGTGGAGCCATATGGCTTTCCCGCGCTCTCTGACAAACCAGAAGACGATAGCTGAGGAGATCGCCGGAATAAAGCCACGGTCGGCTAACAGCGCCTGACCGAAGCGCTTACCTTCAACACCGAGGTCCATAGAAGGCTGTGAAGGTCCTTGGGACAATAAATCGCCGGTGTTTTCGTCTGATTTCTCCGATTCATCAGCCATGACCGAGAAACGCGTCTTTCAAAATGGCGGAGCGAAACAAAAAGGCACTTTGGTGTGTGACTGCAAGGACTTAAGGGACCACGAGGCCGATGAACTCGTTTTTCTTGTTTTCTCTGGTTGAATTCTGTAAATCGCTGTTGTTGGAGCGGAATAAAGTTGGCATTGCATTGTTACATGGAGTCGAATGTTTTGAAGTATAATCAGCCCTACAGAGTAGCTCAACATCAAATTTGAGGTTTGAGAAGTTCAGGGAAGAACAACGATTTAGTCTCACAGCTGTGACTGTGGCATAATAATATAATAATATTTATTGATTTGCTCGACGTTTGTAATTATCGCTGATCGAGGTTTCTCTTTTACTGATGATAACAGGATTCAGGAAGGCTAATTCAATCAGTGAGTGACAATTGGTATTGCGCAAATATCAATTGGTATTGGTACTGCGCAAATATCAATCCAGAGAAAAAGTTTTCATCTGCGCATTACATTGACTCAACAAAATCCTAAAATCCTAAACATATTCCAATTAACAAAAAGTCTTATTTACAATAACCAATTAATCTTTAAAGTCCTATATACAAATCCGTCTTTATGAAAAGAATAAAAACAATAAATTAGCTAGGAAACGCCTTCTCGAATAAATGAGTTTTAAGAGCCTTCTTGAAAGCATTAACTGAAGATATATTTCTTATAAAAAGGGGAAGATCGTTCCATAATTTAAGGGCAGCCATATGAAAAGATCGATCACCAAGCGTGGAAAGAGACTTGCATGGTGGAATGTTAAGAAGTTTGCCATCATTTGATCTAAGATAGTACCTACCCCCTGTGTCTTTCAGAGATACAAGATCAGAAATGTAAGTCGGAGCAAGTTTATGAATGGCCTTAAAAGTTAACAATAAAATTTTAAAAACAATTCGATATGCTACGGGTGACCAGTGTAGGGCTCTCAGCAATGATGTAATATGACAAAATTTACTTTCTTCAAATACAAGACGTGCAGCAGAGTTCTGGACTCTTTGCAGTTTTTGAATCTGATACACTGGTAAGCCGTATAAGAGGCTATTACAATAGTCAAGGCGGCTAGAAATAAAGGCATG